TCTCAGTTATGAAACTCCCAGCCTTTCCCTGATTCGAATCTCCTGATATTACTATTCCTGCGAATCCGTCGTCTGTCGCAACCCTCCCCCCCCCCGCCCCCTCAGCCTGGTGGTGTGCATTTCCCACGATCGCCCGCTACCCCCCATCCCACTGCGAAATGAACCTGCTGTCTAAAAGTGCAGTAACTCGCAGTGCTGCAACTTGCTTTCATCTTCCTCAGCCGCGGGGCACCGCTTCCTGTTCCTCCATGACCAACTCGACCCCTGTACGGCACACAGGCGCGCTACCACTACAACGGCGTTGGGATGCGCTTAGCACGTGCCGTACAAGGCGCTGCAGCCGGCGGGATGATTCTTCTCAGCGACAGTACCTTTGCGCAGCAACGTCAGGAACAGTCTGGAGGCGGCGGCGGCGGCGGCGGCGCCGTACGCTTGCCCTCCGCCTTGGGATTCGGTCCTGGTGGTGGCGGCGGCGGCTGTGGTGGCGGCGGCGGCGGCGGGGCGGCTGTGTTGCTTTCGGGGGCTCTGTGGCTCCACATGGGTCAGCACGACCTCCACCCCGACCTGCCGCCCCAGCAGGTCTACCAGGTGCTGGCGGCGCCTCTTGCGGGGCGGCTGGCGCTCTTCCCGCCGCTCAGCGTCAAGTGGGTGTTGCGGGGTGAGGGGGACAGCCCTCCCTCTTCTCCTGGAGGGGGCCCCCACGCAGGCAGCATGAGCCATGGCTTGGGAATACGAGAGGCAGCTGCCGTACTTACTTTGGGCCTGTCGGCACACAGCCGCCGTTTTGGCCTTGGTGGTCATCATCCTGACACGTTTTTGTTGTTTGTCGCGCCTTATCATGATCAAAAAACTGTTTGGCAGAGGAGAGGGGAAATGTGGATGTGGGAGTGTACGAAAGGACGTGTGCACGTGTGTGGCGCAATCGGAAGGAGGAGGGGCAGCAACGTGGCAGGCCACGTCACACTCGTGCATGCGTGCGTCACCCCTCTGTGCTCCCTCTCCCTCCCTCTCCCTCCCTCCCTCCCTCTCTCCCTGTCTATCTTTCGTATCTGCTCCAGTCTTCGCCAGTGGTTCGTCTTACCCCCCCGCCATCTCCCTTACCTCCCCCGCCACCTCCCTTACCTTCCCCGCCACCTCCATTACCTTCCCCGCCACCTCCCTTACCTTCCCCGCCACCTCCCTTACCTCCCCCGCTCCCACGCTTGGGCCCCTCAGGCGCTGTCTGGCAGTCGGTGTGCTGGGTGCTCCGGTGAGACGGGCGGCTGTGGCCTTTGTGCACGCGGTTGGGGCGACCTCCTTGCTGGCCTGGGATGTTGCGGTGGCTAGGCAGGCGCTGGGGCTGCTGGAGGAGCGGTTCGCGGTGGAGCTGTTCAGAAGCTGCTGTGGGCAGGGAGGCGGGGGAGGCGCTGGTGGTGACAGCAGCGGCAGAGGGGGCGGAAGAGGGGGAGGCGGCGACGGGTACATCGTGAGTGGAGGGCTGGGTTTCGTGCTTGGCGGTTGAAGGGGGGGAAGGGGAAGACGAACCACAAACGAGTGAAGCTGCTGCCAGGGCAAGAGTGTACCAGACGTAGAACTGACCGAAAGGCGTCCGTGAAGACGGCGACCTCGGGATGACGTAGTGAAGCTGATGTTGGAAAAACTACCTACCTAAGCCGCCAGGACTAAAAAAGCGGAGAAAGCAGTGGAAGGCGGAAGGGGAAGGGGGAACGCAGGGGAGGGGGCCGGGGGCCGGAGGAGGGGAAGTACGGCACTGTGGCCCTTTGTGGCTCTTTGTGGC